AATTTTATGATTTATAATTTGAGGGAAGGATTTGGAAAGGGCTGGGGTCCAGTTGCAAATAAATAGTATTTTATTTCAAAATCTGTGACTGTTTCATAGCCCCTGGCTGGTCCACAAGTCAGTCTCACTTTCAAAGCTCCTTAACCTTTGTTTTGTCGTTTGCCCACACTACAGAAAAGGAATAGACACCTAATTTTACTTTTCTTCTTATGACTTCCTAATGTTCTTCAAGCATCTCAACACAACTGTGAAAGACACGGTGAGGACTCTGGCCCGTGTTAAAATTAACTGACCCTCACCAAGGCTCTACTGATAAAAGCCCAGGTGGTTGGTGTTATGGGTATGAATAGAAACCAGGTCACATCTTGTATTGGTCCGAGACTTCCACAGCTGACTGAATTGATCAATTAACACCCGGAAACCCAGGGAAAGGGTCTAAGGTGATACACAGCCACCAAGTCCTTGAGACACACTTTCTTTTCATTCAACAAGTAAAAGTTGCGAATTTCCTAACATATTATTGTAATATTCTGGGAAACAAAATGTAAAATTCAAGTAGTTATAGAAACAGGCATTTATCTGAAGTAATTTTAGGCTCATCTGGAATAGGTCAGTAGCAAAAATATTTGTTAAAAAGATTGGATTTTGTGGCTGGACCCACTTCTTATACAGGTTGTTGAACTTTCTGCTCTGTTTAAGTTTCTTCTCAGTGCTGATCTCTTTCCCATGTAGAGGGATATCATGTCAGAAGAAGTCTAAATCTTTCTCTGCCTAGAACCTCAAGGATGGGTAGAGAAAGGAATGGATTTCTAGGTATCATTTCAAGCAAATCTTAACTTAGCCCATCCTTTCCCTCCCTCCCTCCTTCCCTTTCGACATCTCTCCTTTCCTCTGCTCATCACTTAAAGCAAACCTAAACTTAGAGAGCCCATTCCTTCTTTCTTCCTTCTTTCCACACAGTTACAAGTGCCCTAAATGGTCAAATAATTTTATACAATTGTAACATCATGAACCTAAAATTGTAGACATCAGAGAGACCTGACAGATGTCCAGCCTATGCTCTGACTTTATAGCTGAGGATGATGAGCTCCAGAGAGTGGAAAGCGGAACCAGATCTCGGTCTTCCTCACCCCGTTCTGTCTTGAAGGAGACTACAAGACGCCTAGACACTCGCTTTTGGAAGGATCTCTGTCAAAACTCTTCATAGGCTGGTTTTTGTTTTGTTTGTTTTTGCATTGTGAAAGTTCCTAAGACCAACAGAGGGAAATCATGATTGCCTTTTGTTTACTCACCGACAAACAGCTGGCTGTAGAGTTCCAGGCGGGTGTGACCTTCGGTAGGGGCCTTGCGGATCTGTTGGGGCAGCCGATCCACCTGTAGACTGGCCTGCTTGACATTCCTCTCTGCAGTAACCCGGTGCCACTGGTCATCGTTGAGAGGGGAGGGTGACCTCACTACAATCTCCACTGGCCCGTTTCCGACATCAAATGAAAAGGATACTTCTGTGGCAGCTGGAGGAGCATAAAGCATAAAAGATACATGAATATTTTTCTCCAGATACCAAATAGCATTGCATTCTAGAGGAAAACCAAAGCATGGAGAGAAAAAGCCAGTCTCTTGCTACAAAGGTCCATGGCAAAATCATTTGAGGAAGGATAAAACATCAATCCATTATTAACCATTAATAACCAAGGGCAGGAAAATGAATTTGTACTGGAAGCCTATGTGCCAGGTATACATTTATGTCCTTACTTATTCTTGAGAAGCCTTCCAAGAAGTTATCATCACTGACCATGTCCAGATAAGGAAACTGAAATATAGTGAAGTTAGCGCATGTTGAGTGTTTTAGATTTAGTGAGTCAGTGGAGTCCGGATCTGAACCCAGGTTTGTCAGATTTCAGAGCCTGAGATCTTTTATTCCACACAAAACTTACCACTTCAGTGGCTTGTCAGGCCGTGATTTGCAGTCACCTGGAGAGCTTTTGGAAACACCTGTGTCCAGAGATTCTGACTCAGTTGGTCTAGAGTAGGCACAGGTATTTTTCAAATGCTCCCCAGGAAAAACTAATATGTAGCTAGGGTGGAGAGCTACTGCTTTGGGGGAATTTACTAAACTTTATTTCATTAATCTTTGTAGTCCCTTTTGAAAGTTAGGGACCTATAAATTGTTGAGGCAACGAAGGTGACCTACATCTTTTTTGGACCACTTGTGGCTGTCCAAAAGGTAGCACAACAGTCCTGCAAAATAATCCCCTTCCTGCATCAGATGTTGTAAACCTTGGTTATTCCCCATCTGGGATGCTGGATCCTTCCCATAACCTACCCCACAGCAATGACCACAAATCACTCATTTTCAGAGATTTCCTCCAAATCAACCTCCTTCTGCAATAAATCACCTCTCCACAATAGGCAAATGGATTCGGTGGTTGCTTTGTTAACTTTAGTTATAAGCTGCTTTCTGATTTCGCATTTTTAAGTTCCTCAGTGACCACCTAGGACTTTACAAACGAGTTTTTTAAATGTACATTTGTCTGGTGATTGGCAGCAGAGGCAGCTTCCTGCTGGAGCAGCACAGGCGTCTTGAGCTCCCTTAGGCTCAGCGAATTCCTTTTGACATTAAAGACGTGGCACACCAGTGAATTTCCTAACTTCACTTATAAAGATATTCAGCCCCTCTATCCATCAATAAGCCTTCTGCCTAATCTCTAAGCACTTTAATTAAATATCTGTCATTTTTTTCCTGGGCTAACGGAAAATTCGGCTTCTTTTGGCCGGTACCATTTTGAGATGGTGTCACAAGCAATCAAACTTCTAATTTAAAAACCACAGTGGGCCAGATTCTCCCAGGATCTAGACCATTCCCTGCTTCTGTGCCAGGCCCCTCTGAGAGCCGTGTTAACTTTATTGAGCTATGGGGATATTAGACGCAGAGCTCAATTTAATCAACTTAATTGTACCAAGGAATTTTGATCCTTCATGTCATTAGAAAGGGAACTTTAATTTTAACACCTGTGGTGATTCTGCACACACACACACCAGTAAAAATCTCATCTAAATGAGGAGCTGCTGCCTCCAGGGGTCATTGTGACTGAATTTAACTTGTAGGCCTGTGACTGCCACCCAGGTTCCCGTGAACGTACGATCAGAATGCAGGTAGGTGACAATATGGCCCACAGGCTGGGTCCTTTGGCTCTGTAGCTCTGATACAGTTGATGTGGAAAATGTAGCCTTGGTTTCAGATTGAATCTTTCCTGTTCTCGTAGTGCTGTATTTCAGCAGAAGCATTTTAAAATGTAAGTTGTCAGAATAGCCAGAGAACGAGGGTTCCTGCGCTAAGTAGGAAAGATTGTTTCATTTTAAAGGCATCAACTGCCATCAAGGAAATAGAATTTAGGGATAAATTGAGTTTAACCCTAAGGTTTGACTCGCACGGGTAAACGCCGCTCTAATTTCCTCTGCGATTCTCCTTCTGCTGCGATGAGTTCTTGTCCGGGTCTTTAAACTGTCACCGTTTGGAGAAACTCTGAGTACCAGCAGTCACTAGAAAATATCCACACTTTCTCTTTGCTCGTCACAATAGATCCCCTATTTCTTCCTCTGGACCAGTCTTCTTAGCATCAATCCTTCGCTCTAGAGAGGGAAGGAAAGTCACGGGGATCAAGTAGCTCAGAGCCTCTCTCCCCAGCAGGGCCACAGCGACTGCCGGCCAGGAGCCTCCAAGAGCAGCTTCCTCCCCGGAGCCGCATTCAGGCTCTGCTCGAGAAATATTTACAAAGCCCGCACCTGGCACTTCCCTTCTGCTGCTTCCTAAGGCCTCGTGCGAGCAGGAAAGAAAGGGCTCCTTTTTCTCAGTCATTCAACGTCAGCTTCCCTGACATCGCTGAGGGACGCCTTTGAGAAATCCCATCTCCCAGTCAGACCGTGTGTTTTAAAAGCTTCTAGAGTTCAGTTTGTGGCTGATTGCTCTCGGTCTTCTGGGTGAGAGCAACTGACATTTTAAAAGAGATAATTATAGAGAGAGTCAGTGAGCGAATAAAAGGGAGGCAGCATAAAAGACACCAGAGCCGGTGACACCATCCTCACTTAATGTGTGTCACCAGTTGGGGATGGAAGCATTGCCCTGTTTCTGCCTGTGGAAAACGAGTTTACTATACACTGAAATCATTCCTATTTCCAGAAATAAGCATCTGAGAATGAGAGTTGTATGGCATGGCCCACTGGAAAGAACACTGTACCAAACATGAATGGTCGCTTTCCCACGAGAGTCAGAAACGGGGGAGGGTCTGAGATTTTACCCGACTTGCAAGCTAACCTGTCAGCTGGCCACAGCTTCGTGATGCTGGCTGAAGACATGAGACTCCTGGGTCAGGGACAAAGGACTTTTTTACTCACAACACAGCAGGTGCCATGAGCTTCATGTTCACAGTGGTTTCCCTCCCCTGGCCCCGAGTCCGCTGGGGGTGATGTGGGGCAGCCCAGGTGGGTGCCGCACATGGGCTAAGTTTGCTTCACAGCTCAGGAACCCTGGACTTAGGAAGCCCCAATAATTAAAGGAGCACTAAAAAACTTGGTCAATCTTTGCCCTGGAGCAGGACATTAACTTTATGACCCTGGTCAGGAAACAAATCTACCCTCTTTCCTGGAGGAAGACACTGTATCGTCCAAGTCTGTTAGCCATACGTGCATCCTTAAAGAAGGTAAGAACAAAGCTGTGAATGCCTCTTGCTCAGAAGACAAGCAGAAATAGGAGAGATTCACAGAGAATTTTCTCCCAGCAACTAATCACTCTCACTTCTTCCCTTGTGAGCTAACCTGATTTTGCTCAGTGATCTATGTGTTTCCGGAGTCTTATGCTTCAGGTAAGGATAGCCCTAACCTCAGCCCAGAGGATGACTCTGGATTTAACCAAGACCAAGACGGCAATTCCATGCTCCTTGCCAGTAACCCATTTAGGGTGGGATATATCATTCCCTCCTGCCAATGAGACACGACTGGAGTCTTTTGGTGGCTTTTGGGAAAAGTGTCTTAGCTCATAGGAGATATAAAGAAAATACAGTTCCTTTTGTGCCCCTTAATACTGGGTGGGAGGTTGTGGTTACTAATGTTGCTGGAACCATCTTGAAAATATCAGATATGCCAAAGAGAACAGGGAGGGCAATGAGATGAATCTGGGTTGTTGGTGACATTGTTCAACTCTTAAATTATTATTCCTGGAGCCATGTACATTAGGATTTCTTACGTGAGATCCATTATTGTTTAAGCCATTTTTTATTTCAGCTCCAAGTGTCTTAACTGACCTTGAGCATGGTTTGGGAATCAAATCAGTATATCTGAGTTCTAGTCTTAGCTTTGCTTTTTCACTTTTTGGGTCTCAGTTCACTAGTGTCTGAAGTGAGGTTTACATCTATAGTTTTCCAAGAGTTTCTGTGTCCAAAGTGTGTGTGAAACTACTGAACTAGATTACCTCTAAGGTCCTTTCAAGTTGGAATATTCTATATTCTTCCAAGAGATTCTAAGAGAAATAAAATGAAATGTAGCTAGTCTTAATGGTAGTTTTAGATATTGAATCATTACAGGGAGAAAAGAGAAATATCAAAAGACAAATACACGAGGTGGCCTGTCGGCATCAGAAAAGAGTATACATGGCAGAAATTACTGTTGAATAAAGCTGGCTCACGACTTCATCCGAGCGACTTAAAACAATGAATGGGACAAAGCCATGGACAGCTCTTGGTATTTCCAGTGCCCTCCCCTCCCCTTCAAGTATGATTTCAGTAGGTGGCGCTATCTGCTCACATTCCAATATATTAATACCATGTTTCCTCAAACAAATCACTCCAGGTTTAACGAATTGAGTGATAAATTTAACAACTGACCAGAATAGCAGCCTTTTTGTCTCTGGGTTCTTCCAGCAGGTGAGGTAACATTTAGACATCAGACCCAAAGTGTCAGCTGGAGTAGCAGAAGAAATTTGACCATTCAACACAGAAAATGTTAAGAGAAAAGACAAGGAAAGGTATATACGATATGAGAATAATGACCAGTCCAGTTAACACTGTTTCTGTTTTGATAACAATTTATGTTTTCCATTCTAAAATGACATGCAAGGAAGGATAGTTTCCAAAGGGCTCTTCTAGACAAAATCTCACTGGATTCATACAACAAAACTGGTCATTGGTAGAACAGCTATTTTAGCCTCGCTCAACAGTGGTGAGTGTTATGAGTATCTTTTCCTCTTTCCTTTCCTTGAAGGAAGGACAAAGTGTACATCATAAAAGAAAAGAATTATATAACATGAAAGGGTCATGAGAGGATGCAGAAAGGCTGAAATTAAGGTCACTGGGAATCAGAGGGATGAGGAAGAGGAGAAGGAAGTAAAGAATATATCCAAGGCCAAGTGTTCCACCTGTGCACTGGACGCCATCCCTCCTGCCTACCCAAGGACACCACTCTAACCATTCTCCCCTCTCTCCACTACGGCATTGATCATTCGTTCTCTACTGGATCGTTC